GCTCCCCGCCACCAGCCACTGGCGGACCGGTCCCAGCTCCGGGTCGTCCTGCTGCTCCTGACCTAGCTTGCTCAGGTCCCAGACCTCGGGAAACCCGTCCAAAATCGAGTCATCCTCCTCACCGTCCATGTTGGCTGTCGCTATCAGGAACTCGTCCTCCACCCCCGGCGGCCAACTCCGCGGGGGTCCGAATCCGCCGGAGGGGCCGGCCCCGGCGGCGCCGTCGAGACTGGCTCCTCCGGCAGCCGGCCCTGGCGCAGGCAATCCCGGCGGAAATGCCCATACTCGCGGCACCCGTAGCACCAGACCCGCGAGGGGGCGCCTGGCAAGGGTGGGTCTCCACCCTCCGGCCCCGCCTTGCGGAGGGTTCCTCGACCACTGGGACCTCCTTGGCTCCGATCCTACCCTTTTGCTGATAGGCCTGGGACTCCCAAAAGGCCTCCATCTCAGTTGCCAGTGTAATCGCCTCTGCCAGGGTCGTGGCCTTACTTGCGAAGACATGGCGCTGCAATTGTTCGTCCCCCAGGGCGTTCCGGAAGGCCTCAACCGCCAGATCTTCACGCGCCTGCGTGGGCAAGGTGGGGTAACTCCGGAGGACTAACCGTCGGATGGACCTCCCCAGTTCCTCCAGGGACTCTCCCCGACCGTGCACCCGCATGGAAAGTTGAGCCCGATGGAGCGGCACCTGCGAAGCAACTCCAAACCACCGCTCAAAGTGTTCAAGGACGCTCACGTAATCCCTCCGGGCCTCCGGCGACAAGTCGGTGAATGCTTCCTGGGCCAGTCCACGCAGATGGCTGGCCAAGTACTTCGCCCTCTCGGCCATGCTCCATTTATTGACGATGGCTGCACTCTCGAAGTGCGTGTGGTAATCCGCCCAGGACGAGCTTCCGTCATACCGGTCTGGAAGTAGCAGTGGTCTTCAGTCCTTCTGATCGGCTCCCCCCGCACGGGGATCCGCCTCGTAAGTCTGTGTGCGGATCTGGGGGGGGGGGGATCCGCCTCATGTGCCTGTGTGTGGATCTGTGGGGGATCCGCCTCACACAGACACGTGTAGATCCCCAAGTGGGGATCCGCCTCATGAGTTTGTACGCGGATCCGAGGGTGGGATCCGCCTCATGTGTCTGTGCGTGGATCCGAGGGGGATCCGCTTCATACAGATGTGTGCAGATCCCCGGGTGGGGATCCACCTCATGTGTCTGTGCGTGGATCCGAGAAG